ACCTGAGGAGAGGGGAGACGGTGGTGGAAGTGTATGATTTGGAGGAACAGGACCTCGATGGGAAGAGCTCGGGGAGAGGCACTGCGTGGGAAGGGCTCTCCCTCTCCTTCTCGGACGTGGAGGACTTGCAGATAATAAATCTAGACGAGAGGGGAGAGAGTGATAAAGAGGAAGAAAAGTTCGGCAGGAAGAGGACCTCGAATGGGGACGAGCGGAAGCCCAGGAAGAGGGTTCACAAGCCCTTCCTGCGAGAAAACACGCAGATCGAAATCCTCGACACGTCCTCGAACGTCTCGAGTAGCTTCTCAAAACCCGTGGACCAGGGACCAAGTTTGCCAGATAGCATAGAAATAGAAGACCTCGGCAAAGGCCAAGAGGAAAAAGAGGGAGAGGACGAAGCCAGTGAAACGGTGAAAACTAGTGACGTGAAAAAGGCGAACAAAGACGCCCCGCAGGAGAATAAAAGCACAATCGTCGTAGAGGATGACTCCGCCGCAAAGGCAGGCACAAACCCGAGTCCGGAGATCCGGATCCAAGGTAATCCGACCATTAGTCTCTCCCAAGAACCCGAGTTGCCCGACGCTGAAAAGGAGTCGACCCCTTCGAACATTTCCCTCGCGCCGGCCCAAGAGCACGCTTCCCCCACAAAGAGGTTTGTCTCGAAATCCTTCAGCGATGGGACCATCATCACCGACCCTTCAAAACTGCGCTTGTTTCAGCCACTGGATACTCGAGTGTCCCGGAGAGGCATCCCCTCGAGGATCGACATCCAGGAGGACATTCCCGAAGATCCCGAGGATGAGAGTCAAAGGGAAGCAAGGATGCGGATGAAGATGGAACGTCTGGACTCCAGGACCCAGCTGAAGGACACTCTCGCCGTGCCTGGCGAGCGTCGTGCCAGCAGGAGCCTGGAGGGCCGTGTCCGAATTTCCCGCAGAGGATCTCTGGCCAGGGAGGAGCGGACGATGTCCTCAATGCCCTCGAGCCCTGAGGACGAGGAGGACACGCAGAGAGAGCCCAAGATCCAGGGCAACGTCACGCCGGGGAAGGAGGTAGGAACTGATTTATCTGTGGTGATTGTAAATTGATTAAGGCGTTACAACACACACATACACATGCGTGTGTGTGTGTGTGTGTGTGTGTGTGTGTGTGTGTGTGTGTGTGTGTGTGTGTGTGTGTGTGTGTGTATGTGTGTGTGTGTGTGTGTGTGTATGTGTGTGTGTGTGTGTGTATGTGTGTGTGTGTGTGTGTGTGTGTGTGTGTGTGTGTGTGTGTGTGTGTGTGTGTGTGTGTGTGTGTGTGCGCGCGTGTTTGTTTGCGTGTTTAAATATAATTCTTGTGACATATTCACAATTGAATAGATTATACATTTTCAAAATGCCGCTACCAGAACAGTCGTGCTGATAAACATACACCTCATATTATTTGCCTCCAAATCATTAATATTCGACATAATACTTTTCAAAGAGAGCTTATTCTAAATTCATTATGACCGTCACAAATGATCCGAATTTATCTCTATAATCTATAGTTGTGAGTCATTGTTCTTCTAAATTATAATTGGGCAGGATAATTATATTAGCATTAGAGAGTCATTTGGGGATGTGACGTCGAAATAAATGATCCTGTTCATGTGGCAGGTTGATCATCAAAACGTTCAAGTTCATTTGCGAAAGTTTGGGAATATAAAATTTTATCATCGTCATCGCCACCATCGTTGTTATTAGTAATTAGTTGTGGTGATAATGATAAGTATAATAAGAAGGGTGATAGCAATGATAATGGTAAGAGTGATGACAGTAATATTGATAATGATAAAGAAACCAATGTTAGTGATAACAATGGTTGTAATAATGAGGATGACACAAATAAAGAATAACCATTATTATTGTTATTATTATTATTAATATAATAATAATAATAACAATGATAATAATGATAATAATGATAATAACAATAATAATAATAATAATAATTATTATTATTATTATTATCATTATCATTATCTTTATCATTATCATTATCATTATCATTATCATCATCATTATTATTATTATTATTATTATTATTATTATTATTATTATTATTGTTATTGATATATCATCATCATCATCATCATTATTGTTATTTATTATTATTATTATAATTATTATTATTATTATTATTATTATTATCATCATCATCATCATCATTATTTATTATTATTATTATTTTATTGATATTAGTATTATGATTATTATCATTTTATTGTTATTTTTATTATTTTCAATGTAAACTATGTTTGTACCGATATCTTGATAAGTACTCAAATATTGATAACAGTAAAGGATACAGAATTATCCTATACAGAGTGATTTTTATCTTTTACTTTTTGTTAGTACTTTAGTTATTATCGTTACTATTATTGTTATTGTTACTATTGTTATTGTTATTGTTATTGTTATTGTCATTGTTATTGTTATTGTTATTGTCATTGTTATTGTTATTGTTATTGTCATTG